TTAATTTAAATCTATCTCTATATTTGTTTCCTTTATGTGGTTGTCTATCTCTTACTTTGTCATAGAATTGTCTATATGATTTATTATAAGCTTGTTTGAGAGGAATTAAAATTCAATTAAAATTGAAAATATAGTCGTTATTGGGTATCACTCGTCTAATAAAAGTCAACAATAACGGCTAGTTTTTCAATTTTAATTTGATTTTAATCTCTACCAAACACACTCTATATATAGGTGCATAACTTTCATTTGGATCTAGTAATTCATCTTTAGAGGTTCCTGCTAGATTAGGTACTTCTCCAGTATTCATTAAGATTTGGTATTCACTTGTATTTTCTAAGCTTCATTGGTCAAAATTATCTATAAGCAAATCTGTTTTTTCATTCATCTTTATTTTCTTGCTGTTCTTCAATCTTTGATTTTCCTAGTTTTTCTTTAGATTTTTTCTATTTCTTCTTCTTCCTCTAACATTTTTGATAAAATATTTTTTCTAAATTCATCATCCATGCTTTCTGTCTCTATTACTAAATTTTCTTGTTATATATGTTTCTTTCCTATTCTATTTTTCTATAATTTTTTTTTATCTATTTTCTTATCCTTACTTTTATTATTTTCCTTTAATTCTCTAACTTCAAGTTTCAATATATTTATATCATTCCTTACTTCTTTTATTTCATTTCTTATATCTTGAACATCAGTTATTAGTATTTTTAATAATGCTTTTAATCCCTCCATATAATTGTTCATCTAGTATTCTTTTATCTTTTCTTTGATTGGCTAAAATAATATGTTCTACACCCAACATCTTTACAGTCTTTTATAACTACATCATACTTTTGTTTTGTAAATTCAGTATCTGTTAGTTCTTTTAATTCTTCATAATAATTTGTTATTTTCTTGGTATTTTGTTAATTTTTCAGGACTAATAATTCATCTAGTATTTGATGATTTATTAATTTTATTCTCTCTAATTTTTTATTCAAATTATTTTTTATTTTTGCTTTTTCCATACCTTTAGTTAAATATTTAAGAATCAATTTTTTATGATGATTCATAAATATTCTATTATTTATTATGGATATATAAAATTTTAATGCTAACTTAAGTTTTAAGTTCTTATACTCTTGAGGTTATTTGTTCATGATCGGTTTTCTCATCTATAGAGTCTTAAGTAAATCTTCAAAGTCTAGTAATGTTTGAGAATATATAATGTCAAGATCTGTTATTATATCTGTATTTGGGTTAAAAGGTATATCATATTTTGAAATACTCTTTTTCCTTGTTTCTAGTTTATCTATAATGTTCTATTTATCTTTTATTATTATAGATTTTACTATTCCTTTAGCAAAATTTTCTATCATGTTT